ATCATGACATCTTTTGCTTTACCCCAAAGCACAATGTAAAGTCCCATTATCACACCTATTCCTCCGATTAAACTATTCCAAAGATCAAAATGATAAAACAGATTAATATGATTATGAATTGTAGTTATCTTAAGTTGTAAAACAAAAGTAGTTTTTCTTTTACCTTCCTGTGTAAATCTCTTCTTTGAAGAACAGAGCAGCCAAGATTGTGACAATGACTGTACAGAGAGGATTAAACATTGCAGAGAACACAGGCCCTCTCTTCGATATAGCCCAAGCTTGGACTGTAAACGCAAGCGCGGAAGACCCAAGTCCCTAACAAACGCATTTCACGATTAGGGTTTATGCTAATCTTTGGATTAATCAACTGCCAAAGAAAGAAAAAACAGAGAAAGGTTTTATGTCCATACTGCATAGAGACAAGCCGCAAGCTCGGAGTAGGAATGGAGAATCCAAGCGCTTGGATCCTTCTCAAGGAAGAAAGTGACGACTGCACATTGTATCGTGCCGAATAAACACATCCATGCTGCTAAAGAGAGGTGATCTGGGTAATAGACAGTGATTGGAACCTAGGGTTTTGTTGGAAAAAAGGTTAGCTTGTCTTCAAAGGCAAGACACTTCGCAAAAAAAAATATTATGATTTTTATTTATGTTTTTAGTGAAATTAACCTGAAGTATAAGCCAAAAGGACCAGCAAAGAGTGCTAGAGAACATGAAAAAACAACCTAACACCCACGTGTTCTGATCTTTTAAATCTTCTAGTAACGATTTCGCAATCGGTAAAGCGAATTCCGAGTTGAGAAGCTTTGGTCCCCAAAGCAGAGTCATGGAGGTCGCTCCTGCTACACAGAAGATTGTCCCTGCTATCTTCGCTAAGCCTCTTAAATCCCGGAGATTTACTTTCTCATATCTAAATATCAGCAATAATATTAGTAACACATGAATCTTGTTTTCAAAGTTTCATATATAATGATGATATGTATAGATGTTCATGTATATACCCGGCAAGAAATGAGATAAGGAAGGTGACTGCAGGGATGACGTTACCCACGGCACTTCCCATCGACGATGAAGATAAATAAAGACCTTCAAGATACAGATTTTGATTGATTGTAATGCTGCAAAATGGTCCAAGATTCATCAAATCGGAGTTGCTAAGTAAATCAGAAATATAAGTTCTCTATATAAATATACACTTACCCTATAAGCGAGACCAAGAATATTAAAGAAAAGCTTTTTAGATCTAAAGAAGCTATCTTCGATTTTTTCCTACAATCCCAAAAAAAAAAACAAGAATTAGCAAGAACTAATTACAAATTC